GTTTTATGGGCATGCTTATTTTCTCTGCGGTTTTTATCGGGCTATGTTGTTTTGGTTAAAAGATAAGCTATAGTTCTTGTTCAAATGTTTTGTGGCCGTCGTGGTAATATTACTAGTGCATTATGTTAGATAAACTTAAACTTAAAATTAAAATTAAGAGGGCTAAAGTTGGATGCAATGATATATTTCGCTATGTAATGTTAATCTAGAGTGGTAGTTTTGATAGCTATTGCATATTGTGTCTTGAGAGTTCTGATTCAAAGGGTGGTATTTAAAACCTGATTGTAAGCCAAAAGCTGCTGGACAGGTTGTTTGCTTCACAAGTTTTATCGTATAGGTCTAGTTTTGTTTTTAATTAGATTATAATTTTATTAATAGTTTATGAACTTGTGATTTATTTGTTTTAAAAAAAATCTGAATTTTCGTATTAGAGATTAAATTTATAAAACTTAAAAATTATTTAGTATTTTTCTCAAACAGTTTTATTGTAAAATAATTTAATAGACTTTTAAATATATATATATATATATATATATATATATATATATATATATAATGTCATTTATAATATATTTATAAATATTTATGCTTTGTTCACTTGGAGGAGAGGGAAAGTACGGAGAGTGAGTGAATGAATTTGAAGAGTTTTTAAGGTGAATTAATGGTTGTTTATTTGAGTGAGTTTGGAGGTAAATGAGAGTAGATTTAGAAGTAAAGTTTATAAGAATTAGTGTACGATTTTTTGTATAATTGATAGAAATTGAAGATTACCAAAATATTCCTAGTTATTAAAGTAATATAAAATGATAATTGTTAGTGTTATATTTAATTGTAAAAATGTTTATAAGAAGAAAAAAAATTAAAATTAATTATTAAAATGTATAAAAATAGTAATTTAGTAAATTGAAATAATAATAATAATTATTATTACTATTATTAATTATTATTATTAATATTATCATTATTATTGTAAAGACCTGAAAAATAGAGTATTATAGAGCAGATTAGTGTATTACAATAATGAGATAGATTATTTTACTTTAAAATAATCTTATAATATATAATCTTATAATATAAACAAAGTTCTTATAAACACTTCTCATTATTCTAAAAACATTTCATCTCTCTAGAACTTTATTCTTCAGAGTTCTCTGAGTTCTCTCTAAGATTTCTTCTTGCTGAGTTATCTGTTCAACGATCAGGAAGTGCCTAGGCGATCCTAGCGTTGAGGGCTTGAGTTTGGACCGATTAATTTCTCGTTCTTCAGCTGGTAAGTCGTCTCCCTTTTTCGGTCCGTTCTCCTCTCAACTGTGAGCATGCAACGATTCTGGTTGCATGTGATTAGTGGTTATTTCTTTCCAATTCTAGCTCAATTTAGGTTCTAAGTATGTTTCTCTATCACCAATTGGTGAGTTGTAGGTTTCTGTTGTGTTTCCTTGCTGTGCAAGGTACGGTTGAAGCGTTTCTGTGAGCTGATTGTTTGTCTCTGAGGTAAGGGAAGTTAGCCACTGTCTTGAATTGTTGTATGAACTGTTTATGTGTTGAGTTTGTTAGTATTTGACTGTTTGAGACTAAATTAGTTAGTTCTAGAGCAATATGAATTGAATGTGCTAGAAAGATGAGATTATGAAACTGTGATCTGTGTTGATGAACTGGTTTGGATGATTATGTGCTGTGAATTGTGTGAATTGGAGGTTATTGCTATAGGAGAACTGTTGGGGGGAAATGAAGAAGTATAGTGTGAAGTAAATTGGACTGGTTTAGGGTAGTTAGAGGAAGTGAGGTAGTGAAATTAAGAATTGGTGGTCAAGGGCTGTTGGTGACTGCTGGGATAGTGTAGGTAGGTCATATGGGACTGGTTTAAGTCATTAGAATGGTCAAAAACAGGTTCAAACTAGTAGAATTGGTTTTGGGTCTATAAGTTGAGAAATTGGAAGTTTTAGAGTAGAGATTGGTGCATAAACACTTTAGATTGGTGTTAGAAATGCTTAGAATCCTTTAGTCAAGTTTAATTTAGTATATACATCGATTTAGGAGGGTTAGAAGTTGGCCAAGTTGAGTGGAATGGGTAAAGAGTGGTTGAGTTGTGTAATTCTGTAGAATTTCGTTCTGCAGATTATGCAGACTCGCTGTGCGAATGGATTCGCATAGCAAGTTACCTTGGCGAGGTGCTCTCTGCCAATGAAACCGCATAGCGAATGGGTGCGCTGTGCGAGTGAATTGAGAGGGTTGCTCTCTGTTTGACAAGCCGCAAAGCGAATTGGATCGTTGTGCGACTGGTTAGGGTCTGGAACTATTATTCAGTTTATTTGATTAGCGAGTGGGTCTCGCTCTGCAAGAGGTTGAGGTCTGATGCTTTTCATCTTTTAATCGCATAGCCATTTTAGTCGTTATGCGAGAGATCTAGAGTAGTTGGTCTCTGTCTTGGGTTTTCGCAAGGCGAGTTAGGTCGTTGTGCGAGAAGCTTATGGTCTCGCTATGCGAAGGGGTGCGCTGTGCGAGAGGTATGTTCTAGTTCAAGTATTGTGTATTCTTATGTTGTTTAATATGTATCAATGAGTGTTGTATGAAGTAAGTTGAAGTTGTATCATGTAATATATGTGGTAATTGTGGTATGTTGTAATCAAAAGTGTAAAGTTCAAGTGTGGTTTATGGACGTAATTCCATGCTCCTCAAGGAGAGGAGACATGGTGATGCCCTATGTTGTGATTCAAAGTGTAATCTCTAGTTGAGATTCAAGTAAGTTTAGAATGGATGCAGGAGCTCAGTCTTGGGGGTTATCCTGAAACTCCAATGGTCTTTCATTCTCAAATAGAGAGGAATTATCCATGTCGTGAGGAGTAGCAGGAGGTCCTAGTCTTGGGTGCTTCCAGTATGGCCCAAGGTGAGTGATAACGGACTAACCTCGTGAGTGTGGTAGGGTGAAATCCATTAGCAATGGCTTTGCAAAGCAGTAGAAGCCACCACGAGTGCACGACCCGCCATAGCTCGACAATCATTCTAAGTCCGGACAGTCAGAGTCAGAGTGTGTTATGTGTGAAGGGTTTAAGTGATGTGAATGCATAATATGCTTGTTTGAAGTTAACTAAATTGTTGTATGATTTATCTTTGTTTCAACTAGCTTACCCTGTTGTGTGATTATGTTTTGTATGTTCTGTTGTTCTTCTTCTACGATGACCATCCTTTGGATGTGAGCAGCAGAGAAAGAGGTCTCTTTGGAGCAAGCATTGGATGGAGGTGATGTTGCTGCTGAGTAGTTATGTTTGGCTCTTTATAGCCTTGTAGATAGTTTTGGAATAATCTTCGGTTTGTATATAAAGTTTTAAATTTATAGTTGTTTTTGGATGACTGTAAAGGTATTACTTTATGTCTTAGATGGATAACTGTACTACTTTATCATGCATGTTGCTTCTCCTTATTATAGTTTATACTATATATATTGGGATGTTACAATTATTATTATTATTATTATTTATTATTATTCTTATTATTATTATTATTATTTAAATAATGCTCCACAATTCGAATACACTAGTCTGGATTTGAATATGTGCTATCCGGATACAAGATGTGGATTTTGGTCTTTCTCTTCAAAATTTGATTACTCATACTCAATTACTCCATTATCAAATGGAAGGAAGACAAACATGTAAATTACTCATAAATCACTATAAATCCTTGTACATCTACGATGATTCAAAAAATAATATATTTTGCAAATCTGCGCTTTTTCTTTCTTCCAAATCCTTGCAAATGAATATGACTTTACTTCCCAATCCGTCTCCACAAATCATGCAGTGTATTCTTCATAAATGAACACAACCTTTAACTTATTTACGATTTAGCACGTACAACTATTGAGATTATGGAACCAAATTTAATAATTTAAGTAATAAAATTCTAATGTTATAGAAATGTATTCATTGAAGTAAGCATTCAAAGTTACTTTTAAAACGAATAAATATTATATATATATTTATATTATTTTTGTTTTCTTCAAGTATTAAAGTTCATCTAAGGTTAAACTTCAAAATGTCAAACTATAACATAATTTGTTTTTGTGTACTTTATAATTATAATACACGCCATGGATTAGACAGAAAATCTAAAGAACTTTGCTTACATTTAATATTAATTTATTTATTTTTATCAAAACTAATTAATTGAATGTACTGACCGTATAAGTAGTTTCTAGATTACAATTTAATGCCTCATTCACTTTCTCACATATATAGAATACAATTATTTACTTTTATAATATATTTTTTTTTCACATCCAAGGCATTTGTTAACTTTTTATTAGCTGGCATAAATTATAAGAAGCTAAATTTTGTATAAATATTATTAATTATTAATATAAAATATTTATGTTTCAATAAAGAATTGAGCTTCGTTATTTAAATAATTTAAGCTATTACGAAGATTGGATGAAGTTCTTACTCGTATCTTATTATCCAAGTTACGCTTGTGTATTTTCTCTTTTTCTTTCTTATTCTAATTACATGTGAGTGTATTAGTAGCTTTGCATAATAATATTATAATAAATATGAATAATAAAAATTAATTATTTAATTTTTTTTAAACATAAATTTATAGATATTATTATTATTAAATTTTAATTAATGACTGTTATTTTCATTAAATATTCATTAATAATTATTATTATTTAGATTAATTATCAATTAATAATTATTTTTTGAACGATTATTTTCTCGTTAAACTACTAATTTAGTCTTTAAAATTTATTAATAATTATTTTTGGATTGATTAAAACATTTTTTAATTAAAATGAATGTATTAAATTAAGGTTTAAATTCTTTAGTTGTCTTTATTTATATATGAATTTTTTTTAATTTAATTCTTTTTTATTAGTTTTTAAAAGTGTTAATTTTAACCTTAAATCGGACAACTAAAGGTTTAACCTTAAATTAATTTATTATATTAACTTTTACCTAAAATATAAATATGTTTATTATTATATAGTATGGTACTATGCGAATACCAATAATGCCTCAATACCAAATATAATTGACAATTTACTATATTCAAATCTCTCTGGCTTTTCTGGTCTCTCCGCCAATGTTTTTCTCCGTCCTCACTACACTGAGGTCACATTTCTTTACCAGCAATGAATGAAGTTTGAATTTTCAAAAATCTAGAATTCTGCATTTCAATTTCCCCTCTCTCCGATGGCCACCGCGGCATTCAAATCCACCACCAAGAGAACTTCCGTCGGAGCCTCCTCCGCCGACGACTCCGCCTCCTCCTCCTCCCTCCACCACCGCCGCTCCCGGAGCCTCAGCCGCCCCGCCCGTCACACATTCCCCTCTCGTGACGACGACGGCGCCGATCGCCGCGCTCCGAAAGGTCGCTTCGTCAACACCGTCCGCGGCTCCGTCTTCCCGGAGATCAGCCTCGACGATCTCGCCATCGAGTTCTTCGAGTCCGCGAATCGCGGCCGCTTCGGCGGTTCTAGAACCTCCGAGTCGGAGGCCAGTCCCGCCGGCGCCGGCGCGACGCAGCGCCGAGGGAGGTCGGTCTCAAGGAAGAGTTCCGGAACCGGAGATGATAGAAGGAGCAGTGTTGGCGGTGGCGGTGGCGGTGGCGGTGGGGTAAGACCTGTAGCCGATGCGAATTCGAGAAGACGGAGATCGGTATCGGTGGTTAGGTATCAAATTAGCGATTCCGAGGTATTCCACTGAACGTATTTTATGTGCTATAATTTTTAGGATTGGATTTAGTTTCAATGTTGGTTATAAATTCGAAGTAAATAATAATCCGTTGTACGACGTTTAGGTGGAGAATTTTTAGTGTTCTTGAGTTTTTCTGTGTAGGTAATGGTTGCTCAAATTTGGATGTCTATTTTGAATCGTTTGGTGGTTAGGTGTCAGGAGGTCAATACATTCGTAATGTTTTGTTTTTTCGTGCTTTTAAGTTATTTGGGAAGTAGAGTGAAGACTCAAGAGGAGAATGAAGTGAAAGGACTGAAAAATTAGTGACGATTTTCCACTACATTTATAATGCTAGGACTCACCTCATTCCTAGGCGTAATTTCCCCTCTTATTTGCTTCTCAAACTAGGCGCTGCTAATTGCATATTTCGTTTCTGCTGGTGAAATCTATCCTATCTAATTCGTTTTATAATGTCATTTCAGCTTTGTTGGAAAGAGTGAACGATCTTTTTAATAGCTGAAAAAATGGATCTAGTTTCCTTTTTTATTGAAAAAGACAATTTACTTTGAATGCGATTGGTGGACCATATGAATGATTATGGTTGGTCCTTGTATGATAAAATATCATACTGTTGCTTTCCCTGCTTGAGAGAATTCACTTTTGCTTTTAGAGAGATTGATGTTGTTTCATAAAAAAAGAGCTTGATTTTTTTTATGTAATGGCCATCGTTTTCTTTTAACACAAACTATTTGGCTAAGTCCGCCATCTAATCTGTTTGATTGGTCAGAGCCTATGTTTTTAAGTGTCTTACTTAGTATTTTATTTGATATTATTGTTCTTTTACTCTCTTTTTTTTCATTTAAGTTTGATGCTTAAATTATTAATAACTAAGATCTAGCTCAAGTTGTGCCGAGTTTCTTTTGAGAATACTTGATTTTGGAACCAAATACCAACCAGCCTGTCTTGCTTGTACTCTAAAATTATCACCCACTCCTCAATTGGGTGATTGGCGACATTTGTTATGGTTCTCATTAACTTCTGCATTAAAAAATAATTTATTTATGCATGTACATATCTTGCATGATACAGAGTGACCTGGATCAATCTCAGAATTCTAGAAGTCGTTCCAATCTGAAAAATGCTGATGTCGGGAACAAGCTAATGCATGAGCCAGTTGCTTCAGATCAAAGACCAGTGCTCAGAAAGTCCCTAAGTCAGAGGGATTTGAGGGTGTACGATGGCTACTCTGTAAGTGTGATAATTTTCAGGATTATACTTGTTTATATCTTGCTGTGGAAGTTNATTATTATTATTATTATTTAAATAATGCTCCACAATTCGAATACACTAGTCTGGATTTGAATATGTGCTATCCGGATACAAGATGTGGATTTTGGTCTTTCTCTTCAAAATTTGATTACTCATACTCAATTACTCCATTATCAAATGGAAGGAAGACAAACATGTAAATTACTCATAAATCACTATAAATCCTTGTACATCTACGATGATTCAAAAAATAATATATTTTGCAAATCTGCGCTTTTTCTTTCTTCCAAATCCTTGCAAATGAATATGACTTTACTTCCCAATCCGTCTCCACAAATCATGCAGTGTATTCTTCATAAATGAACACAACCTTTAACTTATTTACGATTTAGCACGTACAACTATTGAGATTATGGAACCAAATTTAATAATTTAAGTAATAAAATTCTAATGTTATAGAAATGTATTCATTGAAGTAAGCATTCAAAGTTACTTTTAAAACGAATAAATATTATATATATATTTATATTATTTTTGTTTTCTTCAAGTATTAAAGTTCATCTAAGGTTAAACTTCAAAATGTCAAACTATAACATAATTTGTTTTTGTGTACTTTATAATTATAATACACGCCATGGATTAGACAGAAAATCTAAAGAACTTTGCTTACATTTAATATTAATTTATTTATTTTTATCAAAACTAATTAATTGAATGTACTGACCGTATAAGTAGTTTCTAGATTACAATTTAATGCCTCATTCACTTTCTCACATATATAGAATACAATTATTTACTTTTATAATATATTTTTTTTTCACATCCAAGGCATTTGTTAACTTTTTATTAGCTGGCATAAATTATAAGAAGCTAAATTTTGTATAAATATTATTAATTATTAATATAAAATATTTATGTTTCAATAAAGAATTGAGCTTCGTTATTTAAATAATTTAAGCTATTACGAAGATTGGATGAAGTTCTTACTCGTATCTTATTATCCAAGTTACGCTTGTGTATTTTCTCTTTTTCTTTCTTATTCTAATTACATGTGAGTGTATTAGTAGCTTTGCATAATAATATTATAATAAATATGAATAATAAAAATTAATTATTTAATTTTTTTTAAACATAAATTTATAGATATTATTATTATTAAATTTTAATTAATGACTGTTATTTTCATTAAATATTCATTAATAATTATTATTATTTAGATTAATTATCAATTAATAATTATTTTTTGAACGATTATTTTCTCGTTAAACTACTAATTTAGTCTTTAAAATTTATTAATAATTATTTTTGGATTGATTAAAACATTTTTTAATTAAAATGAATGTATTAAATTAAGGTTTAAATTCTTTAGTTGTCTTTATTTATATATGAATTTTTTTTAATTTAATTCTTTTTTATTAGTTTTTAAAAGTGTTAATTTTAACCTTAAATCGGACAACTAAAGGTTTAACCTTAAATTAATTTATTATATTAACTTTTACCTAAAATATAAATATGTTTATTATTATATAGTATGGTACTATGCGAATACCAATAATGCCTCAATACCAAATATAATTGACAATTTACTATATTCAAATCTCTCTGGCTTTTCTGGTCTCTCCGCCAATGTTTTTCTCCGTCCTCACTACACTGAGGTCACATTTCTTTACCAGCAATGAATGAAGTTTGAATTTTCAAAAATCTAGAATTCTGCATTTCAATTTCCCCTCTCTCCGATGGCCACCGCGGCATTCAAATCCACCACCAAGAGAACTTCCGTCGGAGCCTCCTCCGCCGACGACTCCGCCTCCTCCTCCTCCCTCCACCACCGCCGCTCCCGGAGCCTCAGCCGCCCCGCCCGTCACACATTCCCCTCTCGTGACGACGACGGCGCCGATCGCCGCGCTCCGAAAGGTCGCTTCGTCAACACCGTCCGCGGCTCCGTCTTCCCGGAGATCAGCCTCGACGATCTCGCCATCGAGTTCTTCGAGTCCGCGAATCGCGGCCGCTTCGGCGGTTCTAGAACCTCCGAGTCGGAGGCCAGTCCCGCCGGCGCCGGCGCGACGCAGCGCCGAGGGAGGTCGGTCTCAAGGAAGAGTTCCGGAACCGGAGATGATAGAAGGAGCAGTGTTGGCGGTGGCGGTGGCGGTGGCGGTGGGGTAAGACCTGTAGCCGATGCGAATTCGAGAAGACGGAGATCGGTATCGGTGGTTAGGTATCAAATTAGCGATTCCGAGGTATTCCACTGAACGTATTTTATGTGCTATAATTTTTAGGATTGGATTTAGTTTCAATGTTGGTTATAAATTCGAAGTAAATAATAATCCGTTGTACGACGTTTAGGTGGAGAATTTTTAGTGTTCTTGAGTTTTTCTGTGTAGGTAATGGTTGCTCAAATTTGGATGTCTATTTTGAATCGTTTGGTGGTTAGGTGTCAGGAGGTCAATACATTCGTAATGTTTTGTTTTTTCGTGCTTTTAAGTTATTTGGGAAGTAGAGTGAAGACTCAAGAGGAGAATGAAGTGAAAGGACTGAAAAATTAGTGACGATTTTCCACTACATTTATAATGCTAGGACTCACCTCATTCCTAGGCGTAATTTCCCCTCTTATTTGCTTCTCAAACTAGGCGCTGCTAATTGCATATTTCGTTTCTGCTGGTGAAATCTATCCTATCTAATTCGTTTTATAATGTCATTTCAGCTTTGTTGGAAAGAGTGAACGATCTTTTTAATAGCTGAAAAAATGGATCTAGTTTCCTTTTTTATTGAAAAAGACAATTTACTTTGAATGCGATTGGTGGACCATATGAATGATTATGGTTGGTCCTTGTATGATAAAATATCATACTGTTGCTTTCCCTGCTTGAGAGAATTCACTTTTGCTTTTAGAGAGATTGATGTTGTTTCATAAAAAAAGAGCTTGATTTTTTTTATGTAATGGCCATCGTTTTCTTTTAACACAAACTATTTGGCTAAGTCCGCCATCTAATCTGTTTGATTGGTCAGAGCCTATTNATTATTATTTATTATTATTCTTATTATTATTATTATTATTTAAATAATGCTCCACAATTCGAATACACTAGTCTGGATTTGAATATGTGCTATCCGGATACAAGATGTGGATTTTGGTCTTTCTCTTCAAAATTTGATTACTCATACTCAATTACTCCATTATCAAATGGAAGGAAGACAAACATGTAAATTACTCATAAATCACTATAAATCCTTGTACATCTACGATGATTCAAAAAATAATATATTTTGCAAATCTGCGCTTTTTCTTTCTTCCAAATCCTTGCAAATGAATATGACTTTACTTCCCAATCCGTCTCCACAAATCATGCAGTGTATTCTTCATAAATGAACACAACCTTTAACTTATTTACGATTTAGCACGTACAACTATTGAGATTATGGAACCAAATTTAATAATTTAAGTAATAAAATTCTAATGTTATAGAAATGTATTCATTGAAGTAAGCATTCAAAGTTACTTTTAAAACGAATAAATATTATATATATATTTATATTATTTTTGTTTTCTTCAAGTATTAAAGTTCATCTAAGGTTAAACTTCAAAATGTCAAACTATAACATAATTTGTTTTTGTGTACTTTATAATTATAATACACGCCATGGATTAGACAGAAAATCTAAAGAACTTTGCTTACATTTAATATTAATTTATTTATTTTTATCAAAACTAATTAATTGAATGTACTGACCGTATAAGTAGTTTCTAGATTACAATTTAATGCCTCATTCACTTTCTCACATATATAGAATACAATTATTTACTTTTATAATATATTTTTTTTTCACATCCAAGGCATTTGTTAACTTTTTATTAGCTGGCATAAATTATAAGAAGCTAAATTTTGTATAAATATTATTAATTATTAATATAAAATATTTATGTTTCAATAAAGAATTGAGCTTCGTTATTTAAATAATTTAAGCTATTACGAAGATTGGATGAAGTTCTTACTCGTATCTTATTATCCAAGTTACGCTTGTGTATTTTCTCTTTTTCTTTCTTATTCTAATTACATGTGAGTGTATTAGTAGCTTTGCATAATAATATTATAATAAATATGAATAATAAAAATTAATTATTTAATTTTTTTTAAACATAAATTTATAGATATTATTATTATTAAATTTTAATTAATGACTGTTATTTTCATTAAATATTCATTAATAATTATTATTATTTAGATTAATTATCAATTAATAATTATTTTTTGAACGATTATTTTCTCGTTAAACTACTAATTTAGTCTTTAAAATTTATTAATAATTATTTTTGGATTGATTAAAACATTTTTTAATTAAAATGAATGTATTAAATTAAGGTTTAAATTCTTTAGTTGTCTTTATTTATATATGAATTTTTTTTAATTTAATTCTTTTTTATTAGTTTTTAAAAGTGTTAATTTTAACCTTAAATCGGACAACTAAAGGTTTAACCTTAAATTAATTTATTATATTAACTTTTACCTAAAATATAAATATGTTTATTATTATATAGTATGGTACTATGCGAATACCAATAATGCCTCAATACCAAATATAATTGACAATTTACTATATTCAAATCTCTCTGGCTTTTCTGGTCTCTCCGCCAATGTTTTTCTCCGTCCTCACTACACTGAGGTCACATTTCTTTACCAGCAATGAATGAAGTTTGAATTTTCAAAAATCTAGAATTCTGCATTTCAATTTCCCCTCTCTCCGATGGCCACCGCGGCATTCAAATCCACCACCAAGAGAACTTCCGTCGGAGCCTCCTCCGCCGACGACTCCGCCTCCTCCTCCTCCCTCCACCACCGCCGCTCCCGGAGCCTCAGCCGCCCCGCCCGTCACACATTCCCCTCTCGTGACGACGACGGCGCCGATCGCCGCGCTCCGAAAGGTCGCTTCGTCAACACCGTCCGCGGCTCCGTCTTCCCGGAGATCAGCCTCGACGATCTCGCCATCGAGTTCTTCGAGTCCGCGAATCGCGGCCGCTTCGGCGGTTCTAGAACCTCCGAGTCGGAGGCCAGTCCCGCCGGCGCCGGCGCGACGCAGCGCCGAGGGAGGTCGGTCTCAAGGAAGAGTTCCGGAACCGGAGATGATAGAAGGAGCAGTGTTGGCGGTGGCGGTGGCGGTGGCGGTGGGGTAAGACCTGTAGCCGATGCGAATTCGAGAAGACGGAGATCGGTATCGGTGGTTAGGTATCAAATTAGCGATTCCGAGGTATTCCACTGAACGTATTTTATGTGCTATAATTTTTAGGATTGGATTTAGTTTCAATGTTGGTTATAAATTCGAAGTAAATAATAATCCGTTGTACGACGTTTAGGTGGAGAATTTTTAGTGTTCTTGAGTTTTTCTGTGTAGGTAATGGTTGCTCAAATTTGGATGTCTATTTTGAATCGTTTGGTGGTTAGGTGTCAGGAGGTCAATACATTCGTAATGTTTTGTTTTTTCGTGCTTTTAAGTTATTTGGGAAGTAGAGTGAAGACTCAAGAGGAGAATGAAGTGAAAGGACTGAAAAATTAGTGACGATTTTCCACTACATTTATAATGCTAGGACTCACCTCATTCCTAGGCGTAATTTCCCCTCTTATTTGCTTCTCAAACTAGGCGCTGCTAATTGCATATTTCGTTTCTGCTGGTGAAATCTATCCTATCTAATTCGTTTTATAATGTCATTTCAGCTTTGTTGGAAAGAGTGAACGATCTTTTTAATAGCTGAAAAAATGGATCTAGTTTCCTTTTTTATTGAAAAAGACAATTTACTTTGAATGCGATTGGTGGACCATATGAATGATTATGGTTGGTCCTTGTATGATAAAATATCATACTGTTGCTTTCCCTGCTTGAGAGAATTCACTTTTGCTTTTAGAGAGATTGATGTTGTTTCATAAAAAAAGAGCTTGATTTTTTTTATGTAATGGCCATCGTTTTCTTTTAACACAAACTATTTGGCTAAGTCCGCCATCTAATCTGTTTGATTGGTCAGAGCCTATGTTTTTAAGTGTCTTACTTAGTATTTTATTTGATATTATTGTTCTTTTACTCTCTTTTTTTTCATTTAAGTTTGATGCTTAAATTATTAATAACTAAGATCTAGCTCAAGTTGTGCCGAGTTTCTTTTGAGAATACTTGATTTTGGAACCAAATACCAACCAGCCTGTCTTGCTTGTACTCTAAAATTATCACCCACTCCTCAATTGGGTGATTGGCGACATTTGTTATGGTTCTCATTAACTTCTGCATTAAAAAATAATTTATTTATGCATGTACATATCTTGCATGATACAGAGTGACCTGGATCAATCTCAGAATTCTAGAAGTCGTTCCAATCTGAAAAATGCTGATGTCGGGAACAAGCTAATGCATGAGCCAGTTGCTTCAGATCAAAGACCAGTGCTCAGAAAGTCCCTTAGTCAGAGGGATTTGAGGGTGTACGATGGCTACTCTGTAAGTGTGATTATTTTCAGGATTATACTTGTTTATATCTTGCTGTGGAAGTTTGTAGCAGTAATTCTTCCTATTAAAGTATCCATAAATTAAAACACTCACATGCCATGTTTAGGAGAGTGAAATGGTAACCTTTTCTTCTATTGTTTGGATGTCAAAAATAAAGATAGAGGGAATTGGCAGGAACTTTTCAAGTCAAAGGAAGTATAGTTAAGAAAAGATAAAGGTTAAAAAGTAACTTACATTTCAAGGATAGTTGGTTTGAGAAAATGTTTTCTGTTATTAGTTTATATAGCAAACGTTAAAAACAAGAATTAAAAGTAGAGAAAACAGCGAAGGTTATTTTAACTCCTTGTATTCACCCTTTTCTGAAATTCGTCAGCAACATATAAGTTTGTATTTTACCCAAATTTGAGATTGACTATGTCTCTTTTCAGAGTCATTCTTCTGCTCTCACGGATGATGAAGCAGCAACAGCTCACTCTGATAAAAGTGGAGTTGCGAAACTACGGGCAGTTCATGCACAGAAAAAGGTTGAAGAGTTACAGTGGTACAAGAGCACTGGCTCAGTTTGATGAATTTTGCTTCATATTCTTACTGTTTTAAAAAATGTTCAGGTGCCACTTACTGGCATGGATAAAGGATTGCACAAAGCAAAGCAGAAAGTATTAAGGAATATGGAACCTGAACAGGTACGTGAAACATGTTTTACGTAAATCTTCTTGTTTGTATTGTATGGTCTCTGCCATGCCTAGCATTGTTATGATTGCGTCCTCTGCTCATTCACTGAAGAAAATTCCTACTTTTTTATGAAACTTCCGCTTTTAGGCTGTGGTAAAACCGAGGACCTCCACTTTATCCACTGGTGATCATTTGTTATCAAGCAATTCTTCTATCAGAAGTAGCTACGAAACTGAACTGGAACAGGTAATAAAAGTTCAAATACAATAAAATTCTTTCTTTCATACTGATGACAGTCTTTTATTGAGTTGTATGAAAGTCTGGGTAAGAAGAGTCTTTGCTGACTTCAAAACATAATTATACTTTTAGCTGGCAAGCTCAACCATGTGCGTAGAAAATCAAATTATTGCTAATGATCTACGAGCTGGGCATATAAAGAAAAGTGTTTTCCTTTCAGTTTAAACTGTGCTATTGAGACTTGCACTTCTGTAATGTAAACGGAACATCTTTGCTTTGTTTTTGTTGGAGGGCCCACACACTTGTGAAATACTTAATTTTCTATATGGATTTACCAAACTGAGTATCGTGGACTCGTGTTTCTTTTGTTCTTCTGACATTGTACATGGCGGAGGTCCAATAAGCAGAAACAAGCACACCAGAACATTCTGGAGAAGTAACTCCTGTTGTACACTTAGTTATCTTTACATATCTAACGGTGAGGTGAAACGAAATTAAATAGAATAAAATGGAGTCAAGTGAAATAAAGTTATCATTATTGGAAATAAGTTGTTCCATCCCGTACTTAGGCTCTCCATTTGAAGAAGAAAAAGAGGCTTATCAGATGGATTCCAAATCTATCAAGTGTTATATCATTCCATCCTATTTTTAAATCATCTAAACAATGGAACCTAATATCATTTCATTTTGTTCCATTTCATTCCTTCACTTTCTATCAATCCAAACATTGTAACTTTCCATTAATGTCAACAGGAAGGCTAGGCCACTCTCATTGCATACCTTGGACTGTTTTAACACTGAAATATGTTGTGTTTGCTGGTAGAAGTTATTTGACCAAGAAAATCATATTTTACCTTTTTTTGGTTTAAAATTACAGTCTGAGAAGCGAAAACAAGAATTATTAGCTGAAATAGTGTATGAGGAGCAGCGAGGCAGAGAACTTTCTAAGATTGTTAGTGAATTGATTCCTGCCAAGGAGGACAATCTTATACAAAATCCATCGAGAATCAGGAAGGTGCTTATCACTATTATGCTTCTAGTTCTGATAATGATGATATAATTTTAACAATATTAGAATTTCTTCGTGAAGGAAGAGATGACGAATTAGTTGTTTTGATTTATTTGAACAGTGTTATTCATTTTTTTTTATTTCTCTGTCCAGAGAAGTAATGACAGAAGCCGAGTGTCAATGCGGTTGACTGAGGAGGCTGAGAGATATATTGAGGATTTTATTTCAAATGTTGAAGATACAGATATTTCATCACTTGATGGTGAAAGGAGTGATGCAAGCTCATCCATTGGAGGACTAATAAAACCAGAAACATTTAATAGCCTTCCAGTCACTAGATCTCTTCCTGTTTTGATGGATGGAGTTGCATTGCCATGGTTGCAATGGGAGACAGGGAATGATGCTTCTCCTATGACAAGCCTGAATAAGGCACGTATGGCAGTCACTCCAAAAACTTCAAGTTCTACTCAGGTTATCACAGTTCTCTCAAATTATTTTCTAATAAAATATGTCTGGGATTGGATAATTTGTGGAAGAAACATGACCGTATGAAAATTATATGTTGTATCTTCACATGTGACTTTCATATATTTTACCATCTCGCTTTAATTTACTGTTAAGAGAGTAGCTCTCGAAAATTGGTATGATTCTTTCAATCATCGTCATCGCCATTTTCTCTGGACATTTACCCACATATGTTGCATAATCTGGAGTTACCGAATAGCAAAATTAAATTTAAGGGATCGGAAAGACATTATACAAAATGGCCATTAACATTAAACTGTGCCAACAATTGTTTACCCTTATATTCTTATGTTTAAAGTTCTTATCTCCTTTTAATACGACTTGGGTTGCTGAAATTTATTCATGGGTCATAGGAAAACATCAAAGTGGAAGATCAAGGTAGCATTTCTATTAGCAGTCGTGGAAGCTGGAGCCCTGATTACCTTCAGGAGTATGTTGGAAAAGATGTATACAGTAAATTTGGAGATGCTTATTGTCACACGGACCAGTCATTATCAGCTAAATCCAAAGGATTAAGGTATGATATGGATGATTACCTCAAAGTTAAAAGTAATGAAGATTTGTTGATTGAGAGTTGGATGCAACGGCGTAGAATTAATTCAGGCAGTCTCCTATTGTGTAGCCTAAGATTATTTTAGACATGATATGTTTCTGAAGAATGGCCATTCCTTCTTCTCACTTGGCATGAATTCTATGTACAGATAATTGCTATTTATCTAGTATGCTTCTATATATAAGTTGTTGATGAAGGATGAGCATAATGCTTGAAATCCTTATTTTTAGATTTATTTATTTATTGCCAGAAATAGTCGATACTATCTATCTATGCAATGCTGTTTTTGGCAGCATCGCCACTTTATACTGCATAAGTATTTATATACCAAAGTTTGGATGAAGAATTTAAAATTAGATCCTACATGACATGAGTATTTTTGAGCTTAGGTTTAGATTGTGTAAATAAATGTTTTACTTTGAACTGCTGTATTCTTTATTCCTTATTTATTATAAACACGTTTATTGATGCACTAAAAATAACTTTTCACAGTTAGACTATAGAATTCAACTTCTAAATTTGCCTGAAAGAGTTTATCTAAAACTATTTTTATTTAGGAAAAAGAAAATATTGTTGGCCAGTCGTATGCAAGTGTCAATTGTTAATCGTATGATAGTAACAAATTTTATTTTATTTTATTTTTTATTATCATGGTTGACTTATGTTCTGGAAAGACTGAAATTTATTAACAAAATATGAAGTTATTGATTTTTTAAAGGGTTACTTTTATAATGTTATTTTGTGTGTTGGTATATATATTTGTTACTTTAACAAACTTTACTAAATACTTATAATTTAATTAGTTAGCTTAATAATTTGAAGTTATTAACTATTAACGTTCTATTACTTTCTTACTTTTAGTTTTTATTAGATTTTCAGCATTTTTTTTTATTAAACATAATTTAATTAGAAAACACGTCCGCCTAAGCTGAAATAAAATGAGAAAAATGATCTCTTTCTATTTTTTATATCACATGATTTTTTTATGTAATAAATAATGTTATA